AAGGTAAGACTCTATTGCTCAAGATGTTGCACACTTGAGTCACAGGACATGGAGAAGTCAAGCTGAATCTACTCTCAAAGCTTCATCCTTACCGGCTCGCTTCGTGGTACTGGAACGTACTATGCACACTATCAGAAGAGAGAGTAATCACAAGTTATATCTGGCTACAGACCTTGTGAGATACGATAACTGACAGCATCTACCCACTGGTACAAGAGACACTTGAGAGTTATGTATGCAAGTAACCAACTGAAAGACCTGAATAAATCCAGATCCCCCTAACAGGAAAATAGAGCCAGAAATCTAGCAGGAAGAGAAGAATCAGAAATCTAGGATTAGCCAGTTCCAGGGTTCCAGGAACTAGCTGAAGATAAAGGTAGATTTACTCTTGAGAGTAATCTTGAGAGATAGAGAGATTCCCCCTAGCAATTATCACCCCCTAGTAATTATCACTGGAATAGGAATTAGCTGATTAATGATCTTGAGAGGCAGGGAGTTGCCCCTTTGTAATCATCACTGGAATTTTCGGAATTTTCTGTGACACCCTCCCTGCTCCCTTTTGGATTACTGGGCTGTGTGGTTTCTTCCTATAAAAACTACTTCTCCCGGTCACTCGAGGTTGAACTCTTCCCCTGCGTGGGTTATGAGTCTTGGCCCCAATGCACTGGTTCCCGTCTTGTCGTCTTGTCATTAAACCTCGTGTGATTGCAGCAAGGACGGTCTCTCGTGAGCTACTGGGGGGGGGGGGGGTCACGTCATCCCGAGGCTTGAGTGAGAGTCTCCCAAAATCGGGGGTCTTTCACAACCATCTTCTGACTGGATTTGAGGCCAGCTGCACAATATGGAACCTGTAACTAGCACCATTATCAATGAATCTGTAGCTAGATGGGTCCTCAGCCCTAGTGGGGAACCTATTTCTATTACTCTGCTAAAGGGACACAGAGTGAAACAGACTCCTCACGACTTACTATTACAGCCACAGATTTGGGCATCTCTCCAACCCCATCAGAGAAGCTTCTTTTTGCAGTAATGAGTCACACAGAGACCCACAACTCAGCAAGGTGCTGAGAAGAAACTGTGGAGTACTCAACCCTGAACATGGCATGTATCTCACATTGCTTCTTCCAAGATTTGAGAGCCTGAGGTGGTGGATGACTTCAGCGGTGTTCTCTGGACGTAAAAGGACAGTTGCTCATAGGCACTCACAGTGATTGTGAGAGCATACACAGGATCTGCGTAAGCTCAGAAGAGAGAAAATCCTAGCATCATAGAGAGAGGGAGTCACAAAGTTCTACTCTCGGTTGAGGAGCTATTGGTGACTGATAGCTGCTAAGAAAACAGTCATTAGTTTTAAGGGTGAGGCTCCTGGTAGATAAACATGCTGCAGTGAATGGCCACACAGACGAGGAAATATGGGCAGTGCTCATTGGACTGGATGGGATTTAAAACAAACAAGGACACAAAACCCCATGAGTATTGAATGTAGGGGGGTTCCGGGAGGAGCTGAGGAATAGTTGAATAGATTTGAAATACAATATATGAAATTGTCAAAGGACTAATAAAAACATACTTTAAAATAAATTCTGGGGAAATACTTCGTAGTGATATTTCATTTCTTTTTTAATAAATAAAGCTTGCCTGACATTCAGAGAGTAAAACACCACTGGTCAGCCTTATGGAACAGACAGTGGTGACATATACCTGTAATACCAGTAGCCACACTAGTCTGCTGTAGAAATCAGATGGTAGTGATGTATGCCTTTAATTCCATCCCAAGAGAGGAGTATAATATGGGAGAAGACAGCTCTTAGACACAGTATCGTTCTGGGGATTCGTGGAGGCAGGATTATCATTTCAGACTGAGGTAGAGGTAAGAGTCAGTGGGTGGTTGCTTTGCTTTGCCGACCTTCAGGTTGAACCCCAATTTCTGTCTCTGGGTTTTGATTATTCATGCTACAATACTTGAAGCTTTCCAAAATCCATTTTAAAATTTTTAAATGAATAGCCACAATACTTTTAGGTGATACATGAATACTATCCTGGGGATTGTCACGGTGAATATTCATCCTTTGATTTGAGGATTTTGTCTTGGTCACTGAAGTTAACTTTCAGCTAAAGACAGCTGGAGGGACTGTTCTCTCAGTCCCAAGAACCTGTGCCTCTTTGCATTGGTTCTCATTCCGTATTTTGTAGGAGACAGATGTTTTCTGGAAACTGAGTAATACAGCAGCTAGTGACTTCGGATGTCAGGAGGCCAAGTCTTCAATTGTCAGAATCATGTCTTTGAGGGTCCCATGACAGGGTTAAGGCAGATATTATACTTTTTGCCTGGTCTTTCCTCCCCCAGAGCACAATGAAGTGATACAGAAGTGACATAAAGTGATCCTGATACAATCTTGAAACATAAGTTAACATTCTATTTCAGTGTTTATATTTTCCTATCCTTAGAAAAGAATCAACATGAAATCTTATAAGTTAGAATGAAGAGTTTGAGTAATTTCTCATCTACAAAGATGCTTTAAGAAGCTCTGGTCAGTTGTTGTACCATACTCAAGGATGTACATGAGGCGCAATGGAGATTATAGGCTAACACAGGCCAGAGCAGTGTTCCATCCCTGGCTCACAGGGTACACTCAATACTTCAGGAAATTTGTAGGAGTTTTATTTGCTGACATTTGTGAATCCTCTTTTAGCTGAAAGGTTGGGGAACAAAACAGTTACACAGTCTTAAGGCTTATATCACTCTTTTGCTAAACATCCTTAGCCATTAGAGAAATGCAAATCAAAACAACTCAGATTCCATCTTACACCTGTAAGAATGGTCAAGATCAAAAACACTGGAGAGGATGTAGGGTAAAAGGAACATTCCTCCATTACTGGTGGGTGTGCAAACTGGTACAGCCGCTTTGGAAAACAGTATGGCAATTTCTCAGAAAATTAGGAAACAACCTTCCTCAAGACCCAGTAATACCACCTTTAGGTATATACTCAAAGGATGATCAATCATACCACAAGGACATGTGTTCAGCTGTGTTCATAGCAGCTTTGTTTGTCATAGCTAGAACATGAAAACAACCTAAATGCCCCCTCGACTGAAGATGTGATACATTTATACAATGAAGTACTACATAACAGAAATAAATAATGACATCTTGAAATTTGCAGGCAAATGGATGGATCTAGAAAACATCATATTAAATGAGGTGACTCAGACCCAGAAAGACAAATATCATATGTACTCACTCCTAAGTGGCTTCTAGACATAAACCAAAGCAAAACCAGCCTTCAATTCACAATCTCAGAGAACATAGACAACAAAGAGGACTCTAAGAGAGACATACATGTATCTAATCTACATGGGAAGTAGACAAAGACAAGATCTCCTGAGTAAATTGTGAGCATGGGGATCATAGGAAAGGGTAGAAGGGGAGGGGGGAAGAAGCGAGGGGAGTGGATAAAAATATATAACTCAATAAAAACAATTTTAAAAATTACCCAAAAAAAGAAAAAAGAAAAAAAAAGGACTTACATCATTCTTTGTAGTATCTGAAGAGGCAGGCAAGAAAATAGTATTATCACTATTGAAATCTGGAAAAACAGACACTGGATCTTTTCCCATGCATTTGGCCACCCAGATAGTTTAGAAGTATGAAAAACACAGTTGCTGTTCCAAACCAAATTTAAATACTTCGTTAGGCAGATTTTTAGTTTCCTGTGTAACTGATTATGATAAGAATCTGAATACAAAATACCAAAGCTGGTGAAGGAAGCGTCCTGAACTTCCTTTCCCAGCAACTCCGTGGCCACAAATGGAGGAACAGGTGAGGTTAAGCACTTCCTCTTCATCAAAATAAAGGGGAACTGATGTGTGGGATAAATTTAAATAAGACTCAGTAAAAGACAACCCCCCACAAAACCTTGGTGAAAACAATCCAGTCTGCGCGCTGGTCTCTTGTCCAGCCACAGTTCCGCTGTCGTTCACCCCACTTTCAGTGGGGGCCTTTATCACCGTGTCCATGAGCCTCACCCCCGTGCTGATGTAGCTGTTTCGTGATGGGAAGAAGGAGGCTGCGCTTGTGTCTTCTTCACCTTTTTACAAATGAATATTTATATTAGTCTCATTTATTTGTCATTAGAGTTTTGCTGTTGTTTTTGTCTTTCCCCAAAGTAAAAGACACTCTTTTGAAATAGAGCTCACTACCTGGTTGATAAGCTGCCTGTGGGTATGATTTTACTGCAAAGCAAACACCAGGTTGTCATTACAATGTTTCATGGATAATCAGATAATTTGTAGACTCTGTAGTGCACAGGCAGATCTTTTATTGGACATTTTCACTGAACTATGCTAACATGATCACTGAAGTTAAATTTGTATAAAATTTTAAAGCCGACAGGTATGTGTTACTAGTAGACACAGGCATTCTCCCAGAGTGTTTGAATCTTGCATGCTACAATTCCTTCAAACAATGGAGCTCTTCTCAGAAACAAGTGTAAACAGAACTCAAGCAGCCATGCAAACGGAGTCCTTGTGAAAGTGTGGCATGCAGAAATTAAGCGCATTCAGTCATCAGAGCGAGATTAGTGTCTATACCATGCCCAACAATCCTGAAGAAATGGAAGCTAGCAAAAGAGGAAACAGCAAGGCATTAAGTGTCACAGGCACTACCTTTATGGCAGGGCTGGGCAAACAAATAAAAGGCACCACTCTGTCATAAAACATGATGAAGAGGATATGGTGAGCAAAGGGTGAGTGTGGTGGAGGTGGGCACTGCAGAGAAGGCCCAGAGCAAAGGCTTCTCCATTCAGGGAGACTGTGAAATGAAAGAATGTGACTGAACTTGTTCTCTCATTCCCCAGAAGCCTGTGGTGTAAGACTAAGAATAAAGAACGTGTAGCAATCTGTACACACAAGCACCTGCGACTGTGACTTTACTCTTTATGCAAATACGCTGGATTATTCCCACGGAGCTTATAAAATGCCGGTAAAAGCCACACTGAAGCCTTTACAGCCGAGCTGTTGGACACGCGCATTCATGTGAGAGATGAAGGAAGGCTTTAGGTGGAGGAAGTAGCCTCTTGCTGTCTTGTGACTCTCAGTTATTTATCGTACAAACCACAGCACAGACACGAAGACAGAGACAGGGCACAAGACAGTGACACTGTTGTCTTCATAGGTAAGTGGTAAGATTTCCTCGGCTTTTCGATTTTAGTCTTCCCCAGCTTGGGACTGTGGTGGGATCTGCATGCTCCCCCTTAGAGCAACAGCTCACACTGAGCTTGCTTATGTTCATGATTATGTGGAAAACCAAATGACCATCTCTAAGAGAGACATGGATCAAAAGGTCTTAAAAATTCCTAAAATACCATCACTGTTGGAGGAAAAAAAAAAAATATCCTGTCTGGATCAGACTTTCCAACTTCTTTGGAACTCTCCCGGGTGATTTTCCTTAGTGCATAAAACAATATAAAATTTAATTTATGGTCATTTTTTTCTTTTAAGTTTAGAGGTTCGATTTACATCTCATTCTATCATTTTAAGACATATTTTGTTGAATTGCGTGCATGCTTGTCCAGGAACCATCTCCTGCCACCAGTCAGCTTTAAAGATCGCTCGAGACTTTTGCCTCAGTGCAGAAGCTCAAGATAGAAACTCCTGAAGAGCAGCTTAGTTATTCTTTGTGTGCAGATACTAATGGAAGACAAGTTTTCAAAATGGTATTTAGTTACGTTTTTATTAAAAAGAAATAGAGATCTCTACTTACTGACTCCTAATTAAAACTTCAGTGTTTGAAATCAACAACTTAGTTAAAGCTTCTTCTATTCCTCTCTTGATCTAAGCTTTTCACTTCAATCTGATACATATCCCGGATCTGAACTAAAAATGTGCCCCCAAGGCACTGTGAAATGAGGGGAGTCAGTGGACTCTCCATTCCCTTGGTTGTTAGGGCACAACGGCTGCTATTACTGGATGCCAAAGCATACCAGAAGTTGGTTTCCTGTGGAGAATAGCCCCTTTGGTGGTTCTCTGCATCCAGCTTCTGCATTTTAAAATGCCAGAGTCTCTACAGCGAGGGGCAAGCATTGCGCCATGTCCACTGCACTGGATCTGCTGTGGGTGGGGCTAAGGCACACTGCAAAGGAACTGCTGGCAAGACCACGGATGCTTTTGGTGGCATGCTTCACACCCAGGCAAGTGCAGAATTGCTGGACAAGTGAAAGGCACCTGGTAGGAAACTCCAAGTGTCTTTGAGTTACAAATGTCTTTTATTGAAATGTGAGAGCTCAGATAAGACATGGTTGTTAAGTAAATTATAAAATTTTCCTTGTAATTGATCATCTGGGGTCGAATCATGATTGAGATGCAGAATGTTGTAACGACCCTTCTGGAGAAGGCTAGCAGGCTCAGGCCCAAACCATAGACAAACTGAAGGTGGAAAGGCCAGGATCCAGGGTAAGAAAGGCAGTCCTCCCAATCAGCAAAGGTTCTTGAAGATGATGGGATGTTGCGAGAAACACTACAACACTCCAAAACAGTCCACCCTTCATCTTGCGTTGAGATTTCTGAGGGTGTTAAGACATGCAGGAAGTCTCATGCCACTCCCAAGAAGAGCAAGCATAAGACAAAGAAGGTTACGTTGATTTTCATGAAATACTGGAATGTGGAGAAAAAGGGCAAAATCAGTCACCTGCGTCTAGCGATGAATGCGGGGCTGGAGTCTCCATGGCCAGCGTCTTTGGCAGTCATTACTGTGGCAAGTGCTGTCTCACTAACTGCGTCAGCAAACCGGAAGATTGATAGGAAAGAGATAGGAACTGGGAAAAAATAAGAAAATTATTTAATGTTTCTTATTGTAAGGTTTCTACCCTCTAAAACTATTCCAAAAGTGCCCTCTCCGAATTTTTATCTTATGGAAATTTTATTACGAAGTTTAATGTAGCTGGGCTGTAGTGGCACATGCCTTTAATCCTAGCACTGGGGAGACAGAAACAGGCGGATCACTGTGAGTTCAAGCCCAGTCTGGTGTACGACAGCTAGTTCCTGGACAGCTAGAGCTGTTACACAGAGAAACTCTGTTTTGAAGGAAAAAAAAAGAAAAAGAAAAAATATACTTAATGTAGCAGTTTAGTATTGATCTCTTTTTGCCTGATAGTGGACTTTGGATTTTTATTGTCTTTCTGGCATATAGACTAAATATACTAGACTATATTTTCTATTTTATCTGTATTCTCTTAGTCAAAGTGAGATCCTGCCTATTCAAGTTTAAGTGATTTTGCCATAATTCCCATTCTATCAATAATCACATTAAAATTGCCACTGTGTTGACTGCTTCCATGTTTTTCTTACAATCACCAGAAAATATCAGTATTATGTAAGGGGAAATAGCTGTGAAGCTAACAGAACGAAAGCACACGAGGCAGAGAGCTTCTCAAAAGCTCTACTAACCATGCAAAACACTGTTTCCTAGCAAGTTTGCCCAATACTAAGAATTTAACCTAACATTAGATAGAAGTCCACGTAGGATCACAACTGGGAGTTCTACCAGTCATTATTTCTCAGACAAGTGTTAAAGAAATCTACATGCTATTTTCCAAATATCTACCTCCTCAATCAGGCTTCCCTTGGAGTGTTAAGAAAGTAGGTAAGGTTTTTTGTTTTTGTTTTTTTTTTTTTTTTGGTTAGTTTTGTTGTTTTTTAACTTTCTGTTCTCTTCAGGGAGTAAATGCCATTTTCCCTATGCAAAATACAACAGCATCGGAGCAGAAAGTTCAGAAATGAAGCCACCAGGAAAAATGAACTTGGACTGATGCCAGAGGTCTCAGGCTCTATGCAAATCAGGTTTAGCCAAATAACCTGAAAGGCATTTTTGTTTGGTTAGTTGGGACAAAGTCTCTCTACGTATTCCTGGTTATTCTAGAACTTATGTAGCTCATTGTGGCCTAGAACTCACAGAGTTCTGCTTGCCTCTGCTGATTGAGTATTGGGATTAAATATTCGTGCCACCACACCCAGCTAGGTGGCATTTCTTGTGTGAGGCAAGTTAGAGTCTAATTATATATATTTCCTTAGTCTTGCCCCTTTATGTACCCACTGAAATGTGACATCCATATATGAGCAGCTTTATTTTCAGGTTTTCTATCTCTAGACTTGAACAAACACTATAATTGTTATTTACAAGACATTTTCCCCAAGCCCCACTGCCTGCAGTGTGGACTCCTCCCCTTGGTTCTTCTACTTTTAGCTATTTTGGTCCTTGACCTATCAGTTGAAATTCACAGCCAAGTGTATGGAGGATCTGTCTTGACATTTGAATGCAGATAACAGTCATTTCACCTTGATATTCCTCAAGTTATTTATTGACATCTTATTTTACTGAATTAACTAGTATGCTCAGGATTTGGGAAGTGATAAGTATTTGTTGACATTAAATAAACTGAGTTAGTTTGTTTTTTTTTTTTTTTGCTTCCTTCTTCTTTTTTGTGGGAGAGGGCACAAGGTCAGGGGGCAGACCTGAGAGGACTGGGAAGTGAATGTGATTTGGGTGCATTATGTGAAATTCCCCAATAATCAACAAAAATCTTATGTTGGAAAAAAAATCTAGAATAAAACAGCAAAGGAAGGAAAGAAAGGAAGGACGGTGTAGTGACATTTCAAATGTACTTTAATAAATAAAGACTGCCTGAAGATCTGAGACTAAAACAGTCCCACTGGTCAGCCTTACGACCAGGTTATGGTAACACACACCTTTAATCCCAGTAACCACAATGACACGCACCTTTAACCCTGGTAGCCACACTAGTTGCCCTAGAAACTGTGTAGTGCATGCCTTTGGTGAGGGTGGTACACGCCTTTAATCCCAGCCCTAAAGAGGAATATAAGGCAGGAGGAAACAGTTCTCAGAAACATAGTCTCCTTCTGAGATTCCAGGAGGCAGGATTGCCATTTCAGACTGAGGTTGAGGTAAGAGCCACTGGTTGACTGTTTTGCTGTTTGGATCTTCAGGTTGAACCCCAGTTTCCAACCCTAAGTTTTTATTAATTGTACTTCAAGGAAGAAAAGAAAGAGGGAGGGCGGGAGGGAGGGAAGGAAGGAAAGAGGAAGGAAGAAAGAAAGAAAATTATTCTAACTGTTCAGTCTTTTCATGGGGTCCCAATTCCTAGTTGGTTAACGGGTTTTAAATTTTTTTTTCTTCAGAGCTTTGATCACAACTGAATTGTAATGTTTAATTCTTTCAGATGATTTATTTTTATTATTTGTAATTGTGTGTATGTGTGTGCACAAGAGTGCAGGTGCCCTTAGGCCAAAAGGCATCAGCTCCCCTGTAGTTGCTGTTGTGAGTCACACAATGTAGATGAGGGATCTGAACCTGGGTCCTCTGCAAGCGCCGCATGTTCAGCCCAGGGACCCCTCCAGCCTGTATCTGCCTTTGAGAAACATGACTTAGCCTTTGTTGAGGTTACAGCGTGACTTGTTTTTGTCTGTCAGAGCAGTCTGTCACATAGAAGGACATCTACAAGAACAGCGACATCAATCCTTTTCTCTCTGCATTTCTGTCTATTCATATACAACTAATTCCGAGTAACTAGTATTTATGATGTTTAAATGCATGCTAATGAAATTATCTAGAATTATTTTTAAATTTTCTGTCTTTTCCCCAATGTTTTCTTCTCTGAAGCTACTGGAAGGGAAGGATTACTTTTACCTTTGTGGCTAAGGAAACTTTACCTAGAAAACCACGGCAGTAACTTATTGCCAAGTCAGTATTCATTTCTGCTTTCTTGCTTTGGTTGGTTCCATTACACAGTTCTAAAGTTTTCCCTTTAAGTGTTGGGCTGTAGTTTAGTTCAAGGTTTTTGAACTATTTTGCTACTAGTATGATCCTTTGGTTGGCAATATTTTTTTGCTGTGGTTTGTCATTTTGTTTTTTAGCCTAACCATATATTTTTTTAAATTTTCTTTTTCTATTTCAATTTTTCATTTCTTTGTGCTAGCAGCAGGATGATTTCTCAAATACCATGGTCTTGAGAATGTTGGTCCAATGAAATCATCTAAACTTGGATCATGCTTCACTGCGGGGAAGAACGCTGCTGTCCCCCTCCCTCCCGTTCATTTGTCTTCTGAGCTCACACAGTATGTTACACACTGTCTGGGGACTTTTGTTTAAATCAATGCATCCTTTGACAATTTCACACACATACATAACTCCAAGTCACACTCCCCCCCCCACCCCCGCCTCTTTCATCTGCTCCACCAAACTCCTTCCTGGGAACAGGCTTCCATGCTCCTGTGTCTTTGTTTCACTTTGTCCTCATTCTGTGCCTCACTGAAGTCAACCTGGGTATTGCATGGACATGGAAGAGGAGAACATGATGGTCACACCTCTGAAGACAATGACTGCTGTTGATAGGGGTGACCCCCTCACCCCCACTGTCTCCTGCTCTCTCACAACTGGCCTTGCACCTCAGTGTATCTGGTCAGACAGGTCTACTTTGACGTTCGAAACAGGCATGCTTTAATAGAGTCGGACTAGGGCCACAGAGATGAACTGTTTAGTGAAGGGAGGCAAAAAAAAAAAAGACACTAGAACTTCTCTTGGGGTTTATTGTGAAATTTCATTCTATATTTTGTTGATCATAGACACATTTACTCCAAATTCCTTATTTCTGTGCAAAGCCTTACTAAATATATTAAATATTTTAGAGTCAGTAATTATTTTTAGTCGCATTTATCTTGACCTGTTTTTTAATGTTGCCAAAATACACGTATCTAACCTGCAGAGTACAAGCCTTCCAGTCAGGAATTTTGCACCTGTAGAATTAGACGTTTTGCCTTGCAGTGGAATGAAATTACACGGGACCTGAGAAATGTGTGAGAACAGTTTCTTTAATGTCGCAACCGTTGAAAGAAGGTTCTGGAGGAAAGGATAAGCTTTGTCAGATGTGCTTGTATCTCCAAATCTCGTGCTGAATATGTTTTCAGAGAGATACAGAGAGATAAAAAAATCTCAAATTCTCCTTAGAGTATGCTATGATATAAGTAGCACAATCTCATACTGATAATAAAACAACCCCTTTACCCAGAATTCACACAGTGGTCATGAATATTTGTGGATATTTGACTGAAAAAAGTTATATATTTATTTCTTGATGCAGTGGACATATGTAACTGCATATATAGCCAAGGTATGTTAGGATAAGTAAATTATTTCTGTGCTGTAGAAGCTTATATATGATAATCAAATTTTATGAAAAGTTCTTCAGTGCAACCGACAACCAGGAATAACAGTTTCATACTCTGCGGGTTAGTATGTTCTTTTGATATTTAAAATAAGCACGATAAGGAATTATAACAAATACTTTCATTTTTTAGTAAAAATTATAATTTCGTAATATATATTTCTAAAGGATCTTTATTACCTTGCATGTTTAAGTAACTAATTGTTGACTGCTTGCATGCATATGTGTGTGTGCATGCGTGCGTGCATGTGTGTGTGTGTGTGTGTGTGTGTGTGTGTATGATACATGTGTGCCATGGTGCACATGTGGAACCTAGAACAGATCACTATGGAGTCAGCTCTCTCATTTCACACGTATGACTCTCCCAGAAATAGACCCCAGGTTGCCAGGTTTAGCCAGCAAGCAAGTTTACTGACTTTCGGGGGGATTATCTCTCTCTCCATCTTGTTTTTGAGGCAGAGTCTCTCTTGTTATTTCTGCCCCTGCGCTGCTTTCACTATGCTTTAAGCTCGTTCTCTTGTCTCTGTCCACCATACCACAGCAGTGCTGGTGCTAGAATTACAGGTATAAGCCGCCACATCTGACTCTTTTACATCAGTTCCCTGTGTTGAACTCAGATCATCGGGCCTACACAGCATGTGCCTTTACCCACTGCATCATTTCACCATCAACCCAGAAAATAAACTTTTTAATTCACCACTTTATTTTTTTAATAACAGAATTCTTTATTGATTCTTTGGAACTTTCACACCAAGCACTCCAAACCCACTCTCCTTCTAATCCTGCCATATTCATCCCTCACCCCTGCAGCTTCCCCCACTCCCCAAAAAAGATTGATTCAAAGCAAAACAAACAAACAGAAAACACCTCACTTCTCCATCCTTCCAAAAGCTCTTCACGCACCCTCATGGCATCGGGAGCTGCTGGTCTGGTTCCAGGCCTCTGGCACACCATCACACTGCACCCTCAGCATAATTCATCACTTTAAATGAACAATTTCATGTACCTACTGCAGTTATTGCATCAGGATGTGGTAGCTAATGATTATTCTTGCCTACAGTGTGAGTGATTAAGTAATGACTAATGCTCGTAACAGTTTAGTATTATTCTAAGAATTTTATCAATACAATTCTTACTGTCCAAATCTATACTGATATCTATCTACTTTTTAAAGTAGACTTTGGAATTCGGGGAACCTCTGTAAACTAGCCCGAAGACACTGAGCGACTGAGTAGAATTCAATTGCAAGTGAAAAACGCCTGTAAGTTGCCAGGTCGTTATATCGCCCCGCACATTTCACAGCTGTATCTGTTGAAGTCAGTCATTAAAATGATGTGAGTTTTCTGCAGTGTGTGTCAGTCTGAGTGTTTACAAGCTGGCCCAGCCACCTCCTAGGAGAACAGTGAAGGTCATGGAGCCAGCATAGCTGCTTGACAAATTCCAGCAAAACTGAGTCACACGCTATGGTCATTGACCGGGTGCCCTTTACTCTCAGTTTGAATCTCTGTGTGTTACACCCTGTGAGGGCTATTTGTGTAATGATTTATCCGTGACCTTTCTGAGAAAATCATTTCTGTATACCCCCAAAGAAGTCTTCAATGCTTTATTTTATACCCCTGCTTTCAGGGAAGTGACCTTAGTTGACCTACTTAGGGGTCTTCTCTCTGCCTTAGAGATTGTTATCCGGCCCTACACAAACTCAAGAACAAAATCATGAGAGCCCTGTGGATTCAGAAAAGGCTAACTAGATTCAGGAGGCTAGGAGAATTAGCAGCAGATCAGAGCACAGAACTCCCTTACAGTGTACTTAGAATTTCTTAGGAACATAACCTACATGATAGAGGACCACATATACATTAAGCCTCTGAACAGAATTTAGCAATAAGAGCTAGAATGACCAGAATTACAGAACAGCATATATAGATAATATAAGAATGGCACAGAATATAAGAAAAGTAAGGTATTAAGGTTTGTCATTTCTAAAAGGATTGATAGACATCAGGTTGCTGTGATGTTACCTAATTTAGAAACAGAAGAATTCTTTTATTTAACAAATTCTTATAAGATTATAAGTAAGAATTAAATAATAGCTCCAGCAGTTCCTAAGTCTGAGAAAGTTTTCAGACTTAGTTTAATTTGCAAGTAGTATGATTGACCATCAAAAGTTAATAATAAAATGCTGAACACACAGTGATTTGCCTGCGCTCTCTCAGGTGTTATCTAAAACATCTTGAAATCATGAACTGCTGCCAGCCTTAGAACAGGCTGCTATCTTAAGCTGAAATGATCTTAGAATATTTCTATTCTAGTAATAAGGATATGGGGTTGATAATAAAATGTATTCCATCTGGACTAAACCTATAACCCCGGGTATACTAGAGAAGTGTGCTCAGGACAAAATGACGTGATCTGTATCTCTTTAAAAATCATGAATGTCTTTGAACTCTGTATAAATAAATTTTCCGACTGCTAGTCAGTCAGATTTGAAAAGTCTTCCAATCTGGGCATCTGACTCAACCTTCCCCTCATCTGGTCCTTCCATCCTCTCAGGAGCCCACTCCCTGTTGGGGCGGCTAATCCCCTACAAAAAGCAATCAATGATTTCAAACTTTGTTGGAAACAGCAGTTTCAGTGAGAGAGGAAGTAGGGGGGCATGGAAGAGAGTCCCTAGCAGGAATGACTAAAAGTCATTATATATACATGCAGGCATGAAACTATCAAAGGATTAAAAAATGAAAAAAAAATGCTACCTCTCTTTTTTGTCTTTCCAGAATTACATCATGTCAAACTACAAACTGATTTATTTTAATATAAGGGGGAGAGCAGAAATTATTCGTTATATATTTGCTTATTTGGACATAAAGTATGAAGATCACAGAATAGAACAAGCTGACTGGCCCAAAATCAAACCAAGTAAGTACCATAGATCATTCAGATTAATGTAGGGAGAATGTATTTCAGGGGTTTTCATCCTTCCTGCAGAAATGCAAGCCCTGTCCTACAGAGCTTCACACTGAGAAACATCAGTTCAGGTAAACCAAGCAGATGCATACTGCTCTCTATGGCTCAGGATTTAATCATCTTCTTTCTCAATAGATGACTCAGAACTATAGAAAGAGCTGGGCAGCTGATGTCAGCTTGAATATTGCCTCAACCAAGAGTAGACCCTGCTAATTTATGTAAACTTCCCCAACATCATTTCCTTATTGAGGAGACTGGGTGCAAGTGACAGTTCCGTCCTGCCTTCCCCTTCAAGCTCCACATGCCACCTCTCCCCTGTGTGCTTGAGATGTATCCATCGTATTTGGAGTTCTGTCCTGCTCAAAGCCTTTCAGGGCCTTGAACAGCACTTGCTTTACTCACTGGGCTGGTCACCAAAGTTCTGCTTTTCCCCCAAAGTGAAAGGAGTTGACTTTGTGCTCACTGGGTGTATGTATGGAGGCTTGGTCCCAGTCCTTGTGTGAGGTACAATGACTTACAATCTACACTTCATTCTTTTTCTTCTTACCAAAAAAGTTACATGTCCAAACCTAAGATATTAAGTTGTAGTCAATACACCTGCTGAAGCCCCTCATGATCATTGAAATGATGGTGGTCTGTTGATTCAGAAAGGTTTCAAAGATAGCAACAAGTGAAAAGGGGACTTTGTATAATAATATCCCATGCATTGTGTTTTTTAATATTTAGTTTTTCATGGCTGTGACAGAAGTGGGGGAAAGAACATAGAGAAGGAAGGATGTATTTAGAGGTTTGTGTAGTCTGCTCATTGCTTAGGGCCTGAGAAGAAACACCATGGCAGGAAGGGCGTGATGTAACAGTTACTTATCCTATGAGAGCTGGGAGCAGGGAGAAAGCAATAGGGTGGCTACAACTGAAATGGAAGGCAAGTCTCCAGCAGCCCACTTCCTCCAGCAAGGCCCTACCTCCCACAGGGCACCTCACAGCATGCAGAACTAGTCAATAGAATAAACTGTTCGCTGGATCAGAGACGCATGAACTGATGTCTGTGGAATAACCCTCACAGGTGGGTGTGAGTGCTGATGTGCGCATCCCTCAACCTAATCAAGATGTAAGTGCTGATGCGGGCATCCCTCAACCCAATCAAGGTGTAAGTGCTGATGCGGGCATCCCTCAACCCAATCAAGGTGTGAGTGCTGATGCAGGCATCCTTTAACCCAATCAAGGTGTGGGTGCTGATGCGGGCATCCCTCAATCTAATCAAGTTGACAAGATTAACTAACACAAATGGAAAGTTAATTAGAATGCTACAATCACTATAACTACCTTGTAGAAATATTTTTAAGTTTTATAAATTTTCTATAATAAAAGTATATTGCTTTCTCACAAAGGTAAAAAAGTTCAAGTAAGAAAAAGGTGGAAGTTACTGATACAGTATGAATGTTATCTGCTATGATGGTTTTATATTTGTACAAAATGCTTCTGTCTTTTGTTATATACCTCACAATGCTCTTCATCAGAATAAGACTAGGATAAAACTTCCTTAGCTCATGTGTAAGTCAAACTCTATAGTTGCTGGAATATGTCTTAAAGTAACCCATGTGATCTATTTTGAGACAACAAAATTAATGCAGCTTTAAAGCAGGTATTTATAAGAGTGAAGTATCTGGGTGAAGAGACGGCTCACTGATCAAGAGCAGTTGCTACTCTTGCAGAGGACTGGGGTTCAGTTTCCAGCACCCACACAGAGCCTCACAACCATTTGTAACTTCAGTTCCAGGGGTTCTGATGCCCTCTTCTGGCCTCCAAAGGCACTGCAAACACATGGCGCACTTACATGCCATCAAAGGACTCAAACACACACACACACACACACACACGCACATGCACACACACTCAATGAGTAAACCTTTTAAAGAGTACTAAGTTTATAAATATATCTGTAATGAGACAATTCAGGAGTGTAGCATGTGTTATCCCTGTAAACAATTGGTTTTTTTTATTGTTTTTACGTTGAGACATTGTCCAAACTCAGTATCTAAAATGAGGTAGAACTCATGATCCACCTACCTTCATCTCACAAGGGCTAAAATTACAGGCATAAGCAGCACACCCAGTTTAAGCAGTGTTGGGGATCAAACCAAGAGGCTTGTGTGCCGCCTTGTACATATCAACAGACACCTTACCAACGCAGCTACATGACCACACATAAATACATGATTTTTACAACCAGTTCTTTAACTGACTTTATATCCAGTTTTTAAATCTACCGAAAGGTAAAGACTGCACTAAAGAATGTGAAATTGTCTCTTTTAAGAGGAAATGTTTTGAGGGGTTTGGATAGAGCTCAAGCAGCATAGTGCTTTTGTTTTTAAACATAATGCTTTGTTGATTCTTTGGGAATTTCATACCATGTACCCCAATGTCACTCACTGCCGAAACCCTCCATATCTTCCCTTCATCCTTAGAACATGCAAAACAAAATAAACAACAACAACAAAAACCTCTCTCCGTCCTCTGTCTTTCCCGCCTCTCTAACGCCTCTTCATGCATCCTAGTGGCATCAGAGGCTGCAATGTGCCACACAGCTTGCCTTTTGTTCAATTAGCCCCACCTGAAAAAAAATGTTCATTTCAGGTTGTCTTTGGTCTTGTTGTCAAGACCTCTAGTGCACCATCATCACTGGACCATCACAAAAGCTCCCCTCAGGGATCCTGCTGTCGCCCCAGTCATGGAGGTCCTGCAGTTGAAATCTGAGTACCTTGCTGAGCTGGCCCTGCCCTTCCCTCCTTCCCTGACCCTGGGATAGCTGACCCTGCCCCTCACTGGACACTGCAGTAGGAGGAGGGCTGATCCCCCACATTGGCCCTTGCATGGAGAGAGTTGGCCTGACTCCTCACCATCAGCTTGGAAGAGCTAGCCAGGTGTCATGGGCCTAAGAGAGCTGACTCTGCCCCTCACTTGAGGGGTGTGGTCCCAGTAGCCTACACTGACTGCTCAGCTACCATCCAGACCCACATTCTGGACCTTTGGGTTGGTCCACTGTTTCAGGGTTTCTACTGCTGTGACGAAAACATCATGACCAAAAGGCAAGGTATATTTGACTTACACTTCAGCATTGCTGTTCATCGCCCAAGGAAGTCAGGACAGGAACTCAAACAGGGAGGGATCCTGGAGACAGGAGCTGAGGTAGAGGCCATGGAGGGGAGCTGTTTATTGTGTTGTTTCCCCTAGCTTGTTCGGCCTACCTTCTTATAGAATCCAGGACCAGCAGCCCAGGGATGGCACTACCCACCATGGGCTGTGCCCTCCCCCATTGATCACTAAATGATAAAATGCTTACAGCTGGATCTCAAGGGGGCGTTTCCTCAGCTGAGGCTCTTTCCTCTGATGACTCTAGCTTGTGTCAAGTTGACACACAGAACCACCCAGTACACCCACCCTAACAACTACCCCATCTATGACCTGCGCATGTGTATGAAGAGACAATCTCCATGACACAGTGCTTCTTAAAATATTTTGAAGCTTGTAAATACATGTGCATGTGTATATTCTATGTTTAAGACTTCCGTGATTTATATGACACCTTGTTTCTATTGCTTTGGCTTCTCTCAACCCTCCTGGTTCTGCACAGGCGCTGACCCTTGGCTTGTTCTGTTTTAGCTCTTCCGTTTGGCAAAATCCCTGTTTTGGAGGTGGGAGGACTTATGCTTCACCAGAGTCTTGCAATAGCAAGATACTTGACCAAAAACACAGGTACTGTACTTATTGTAGTTAAGACTTTGATTAACTGAAAAAAAAGTGGTGTTTCTTTGATATTTATTTAATAACTGCATTATTTAACTATGGAGCAATTAGGAACAGCTCTAAGGATTAGAACATTATAAATGTACCATCTTCATCAGTGAACTTTCTATGAATGCTGTAGACAGCTATTTTATTTTGTTATTTTTAGATTTTCATATATAGGGTTTTATTGTGTTGTCTTAGCTTTCCTGCTATTTGCTATATAACCCACAATGGCATTAAGTCCTTGATCCTTCTGTAGCAGCCTATTCTATGCTTGGAATACAGGCATGTGCTGCCACATCAGACCACATAATCTCACTTTGTACAGTACCCTCCCCCTCCTGTATCACTTGATATCGCCATCATGTCGTTCCAAAACTCTACCTGGAAAACTGGGTTGATATGTCATGCTAATGTTGAGTGTTGTGATTATCCAGAAATACAGATAGCACATGAAGGCTGGAACTTGTTGGACTATTGCAATCATAGTTCAGTGTCTTTCATTCTGAGCATGCTCAGAAGACTAGAAAGGTGGCGTCCTTGCCTCTACTGGTTACCATCAGTCTCTTTCGCTCGTGCACCATTGAATGAGCAGAAGTAACAGAGACAGCCCCTGCCTTCCTCTCATCATGTTCCCTTCCTACTTCCCCTCTCCGGTTCTTCCCACTTTAAATTTTTTTTAGTAAAAAAGCAAGAACTTTGGATTTTTAAAGCCTTTTTCTTTTTAATTAGCATGCTAGAGTCACCATTTTCCACTTTCAGCCTTTCCATTTCACCGCGCTGCTACCACCTTACGGTCCAAGCATGCTGCACACTAAAGTGACACATAGGGATTAGATCCCCATTTTAGGAACAAAGATGTTTATTTTAAAGACATAAAAGGGGCTGGAGCTTGACTCAATATTAAGAATACTTCATGTGGGATTCCCCTCTGTAAGCTGCGAATACCATTGCTTAATAAAGAAATGCTTTGAGCCTATAACAGAGCAGGGCAGAACAGAGGTAGGTGGGAAAAACTAAACTGAATGCTGGGAGGAAGAGGGCAGAGTCAGAGAGAAGCCATGTAGCCCTACTGGAGACAGATGCTGGAACATTACCCAGTAAGCCACAGCTACATGGCGATACACAGATTAATATAAATGGGTTAAATTAAGATGTCAGAGTTAGCCAATAAGATGCTAAAGCTAATGGGCCAAGCAGTGTTTTTAAATAATATAGTTTCTGTGTGATTATTTCGGGTCTGAGCTGTCAGGTGGCTGGGAAATGAACAAGCAGCCTCCCACAATAAATACTTGTTGCTCTTGCAGAGGACCTGGTTTCAGTTCTCAGCATACACAAGTTCTCAGCATGAACAAGGTGGTTCACACCTATCTGTAACTCCAGTTCCAGGGGATCTGATAAATGACTTTTGACCTCTGTGGGTACCAGGCTCAACACATGATAAGCACCCTTTCATACATGAGGACAAATCACTAATACACATAAGATAAAATAAATTTTAAAAAAAGCACACAAAAAAACCTGTGTACTGAAAAGTCAAAGGAGATGGAATATGTCCTGGAAGTTAGATTTAGAAGAGAAAAGGATAATGAAGTCAAGTGGCAGAAGATACCTAGGGTTCCAAGTCCTCCACCCTTGTGTGCATCAGAGTCTCCTCAGGGCTTCTGAACATATCTTCCTAAGTTCCAGATTTGATTCAGGAGACTGGAGGAGGACCCTGAAAGTTTGCATTATTAAGGATTTTCCAGATAGTGTTGAGAAGGCAAATGGACCTCACTCAGACTCACCGGACTACAGCATTACAAGTAGAGAGGAAAAAGCACAAGAGGAACCAACAAACAAGAACCTTCATATTTGCAGGGTAGAGAAAGAGGGTTGTTTAGCAAAATACACTGGACCTCCCTAACATGTGTAGGTTGTTACCCAGAAAGGCCACACACTCAGAGGCATGACCACAGGACAGTTATTCTGGCGATAGCTTGTTCTTCATTGGCCTGACTGTCGGTCACACATTAGAAGTTTTTGAAGTAGTCCAGATGTCCTCAGAAAGAGGAATATGGACACTGTGAGAAAGTATACAGAACCTTTGTAGGGCTGGGCCACAGGTAAGGAAGGCACAGTTGGCAGGCTTTGTTATTCCTGGAGCACTGGGGACACCCACTACCACTCCGTCTTTGCCCTCTCTGTTCTTTGTAACTACTTTCCTCAGTTGCCAATACCCCTTGTCCTATCAGGTTTGCCAACTAGAGGAGTCAAGCATGCAAGGAGTCTCTCTCTTTCAATACATGCTGGAGCTACTGTGGGACCAGCTTAAAGTAGGAGCTTTGACCTCCTGGGGTGAAAAAAAGAACAGTTGGTTTGAGGTGTGGTGTCTGGTAATTTGATGCTGGAAGTTCGGGAGGGGAAGACAGCTCCAAATATTTGCCAAGGGGCCTGAGAGATGCCTGGTTTTAGAACGAGGATTGTCCACAGAGGCATTAGCTCCCTGAAAGTAACAGCTAAAGCCTGCACCATAGAAGTCAAACCAGGGCTGAGGGAAAGCGGGGGACCTGTGACACGCTTTTTCATGCTGGTGAGGAAAACCAGTCCTTGGAAATCACACGTGAAGTTACAAGTATGTGAAGCAAGCGTGTTCCTTCACCCTGAACAGCTCCACTCAGGCTTTGTTTATACGAGCCGTGCATCGTCAGCATGGAATGCCTTATGCTTAGTAATTTAATACAGTTATACAAAAAAGAAATGCAATCGGTTTACAAGACTTTCGTGCTAAATCATTCAAACTGACGCCAGTGAAGAAGAGTTTAGAAAGATCAGTGACTTAGGAAAAACTATTTAGAGATTATTAGAAAAAAAATAAGTGAGTGAAAAACAGTTGCCAGCCACTGTTTACTCTTTATCTATCGAAGGCTTTGAAGATCTTGTACATTGGGGCTGGAGAGATGGTTCAGCATTTAAGAGCCCTGGCTCTTCCAGAGAACCCAGGCTGGGTTCCCAACATTCCCTAAGGCAGCTCAAAACAGTTTGTAACTCTAGTTCCAGGGAATCCATGCCCTCTTCTGAACTGCTGGCTTGTGGCACACCTTCATACAAGCAGGCAAAACACTCATGCACATAAAAATTAAAAAGAAAAAGTCTTAAGAATCGTGGAAGCTTTTGTGACCTCTTTTTTTCTTTTTCTTCCCAATTTCTTTTAAACTATGGGGGCTCTTGAACCTCGGCTTTCTTTCTGAAGGAAATGTTTCAATTTGAAGGAAATGACTGGGCAGAACATGCTATCCAAAAAACAGAAACAATGTATAGCAGCCTTAGACCGTTTAACCACAGTGGGTATCTGACCATCAGTAGCCCCAGTTCCCAGAATGCAGCTGCAGTTGCCATGGTTATCACCTTCATGTTGAAATGCTTACAGTCACATGACTGAGTCCTGTTTGGCTCAAGCATTTTGTTATCCCAGGATTAAGATATTCTATCATTTTAAAGTTGATTTCTTTTCTTTCTCTTTCTCTTTCTTTTTTTCTTTTTTTCTGGTTTTTCGAGACAAGGTCTCTCTGTAGCTTTGGAACCTGTCCTGGAACTAGCTCTTGTAGACCAGGCAACCTCAAACTCACAAAGATCCTCCTACCTCTGCTTCCTGAGTGCTGGGCTTGTGCACTCAAGGCATGTGCCACCACTGCCTGGTATAAAGTTGAAATTTTATTGTGAAATCTGGGGTCATTTCCCCCCCCCAGGCTTTTTTACACTGTGCAAAGTATAACAGGGCACAGACTTCTAGAATTTTTTTTTCCCAGCTCCACCTCCAACCTCTGTCTTATGCCTGACAACTGTTCTACACTGTTTCGCTTTCTAGAGTATGGCTATATGCTGCCTGTTTGACACGTTAATAGTAAATTAAATAGAGCATGTTGGTAGATGCAAAATGGCTTCTTTCTATCCCATAGATCTGGCTGGGAAGACAGAATTGGAGCAATGCCAAGCTGATGCTGTTGTGGATACACTGGATGATTTCATGTCGCTTTTTCCGTGGGCAGAGAAAAATCAGGATGTAAAAGTAATGTGATAAGTTTACTATCATAACAATGGCTAACCATGTATCACCGGTAGAAATTGCTTACAGGGCTTTACAAAGTTATTTTTAATTCATGTAATATGAAGTAATATATATATATATATATGTATGTGTATATATATATGGAATATATACCTTTAAAAATGAAGGCAAGGTCAATGATTTCCTGCTGCTCTTTGTGCTAATCCTGCCTCAAACACTCTTAAAATGTCTGTGCATGTGAACCTATGGGAATGCATGTATGCCATGTGCCTGCAGGATCCTGCCCAGGCCACAAGAGGGAGTCCCTGGAACCAGAGTTCCAGATGGCTGAGAGCTGTCCTGTGGGTGCTGGGAAGCAACCTTAGGTCCTGTGCAGAAGCAGTAAGTGGTTTACCCAGGAGCTATCCCTCCAGCCCATAGATCCAGCTTTTAATGCTTTCTGCTCTTCTCTGCTGTTTACACACCTTCCTTTCTCCATTCTTCCTTTCCTTCTCTTTGTAAAAGTTTGTTTTGTATGTACATGGATATTGTTGTACATACCCACACAAGTCATAGCATGGATGTGAGGTCAGAGGATAACCTTCAGGTGCCAGCTCTCTCCTTCCACCGTGTCGGTCTCCAGGACTGAGCTCAGATCAGCGCCTTTGGTGGCAAGTGTTTTTACCTACTGAATCATGTTACCAATTAATGTGCGCTCTCTCTCTCTCTCTCTCTCTCTCTCTCTCTCTCTCTCTCTCTCTCCCTTTCTCTCTCTCTTTCTTTGAAATAGTTCATTATGTAGACTACAGAATGTGTGCCATTATATTTCTGTAGCATATACAAATATAATTTGTTTTACCAATTGTAGAAAGTTCTTATAGACTTCTTAATATAGAATTCTTGTAAGAATTTGTCTCTTTCCTTCTCTTTTTATTAGACAGTTTTTATAGCTGAGGCTAGCCCCTAACTCACTATCTAGCTGAGAATGACCTTAACTCCTGGTCCTCCCAAGTGCTGGAATTACAGGAGTACAGCATTACATCCAGCTGGGAATTTATCTCTACTTTTGTCATCTTCTCTGCTCCCCTTTCCCTAAGCTCTCTACATGGTGATAGGAAAATCTTTGAGCTAAAATGGTCTTCTAGAATATAGCATTGTATATGCAAATACAGACTGTGAATGGTAGTGTTTCAGTAATACTTCCTTTCTTACTTTTTCTCCTCAAAGTCAGTAATTGGGTTTTTAGTTTTGCCTAATTCATTTTACTTTTTTTTTCTAGAAACTTTCTACACTGTCTGGTAGACATTTCCCTCAAAGTCAACGATATCAGCCTGCCTTCTCTTTCCAGGGTTTCTGGGTGCAGCTGCCTCTCTGACACTTGACTGAGCTCTCTGTACTCGAGGCCTTCCCTGCCCTGCAGCCCCGTGGGTTTCTACAGAACCTTTGTCTCAGGCCTTCCTGTGACCACCATCCTGCCAGGCCTTGCTTCTGGGACTGAGTCTTGTTTTCAGGGTGATGCCCGCTTTCTTGTGTATGTCATTGTATTTTTGAGCAGGTCCTCTAGGACTTCAAAGATCACATCACGAAGAGAAGGTGTGATGGTAACAAGATGCACAGGCTTCTCCATCTTGTGTCTCTGCTTTGGTTTTCCTGCACACACGGTGCACACTTAACCATCCTGAGGTTTTCAATAACATCCTGAGTGTTTCTTTCGGCCCTTTCCTGGTTCAGCCTCCTGTTCTGTGCGCTTGTGTTTGTGAAACAGTCCTCAATAGCTTTACTGATCCCAGAAAATCAAAAGTTTGATGCTCTATTAGTTTGCAACTTCCTTCAATTGAATTTTTGCCTGGTTTCACAGTTTGGTTGATGCTTTGGTTAGTTTTCAGGTTTTGGTTTTGTCAACCTGATACAAGTTAGAGTCGTCTGAGAAGAAGGAGCCACAGTTGAGAAAATGCTGCCACGATAAGATTGTATTGTAGGCAACGCTGTGGAACATTTAAATCAGTGATTGATGGGGAGGGCCCAACTGGTTGTGGCTGGGGCTATTCCTGAGCAGGTGGCCCTGGATGCTATAAGAAGACACGCTGAGAAAACCGTAGGAGTGAGCTAGGAAGCGGGTCTATGGTGCCTGCTACCAGATCCTGCCTTGAGTACCTGCTCTGCATTCCATCAGGGACAGAATGTATGGAACCTGAGAGTCGTCAGATGACATAAGCCCTGTCCTTCCTAAGCTATTTTCGATCACAATGTTTATGACAGCACTAGAAACCCTAAGAGCACTGGGTAAGAAATCCTGTGTTGCACACAATGTTTCATTAGCACCTGAAGACACTACAGCTGTTGACAAGTTTAAGTCAATCTAATTATTTTCTCTAGAGTCCCAAATGTTTAAGGTGATGCATTTTGCTGTATATAGTGGCACACACCTTTAATCCCAGGACTCTGGAGGCAGAAGCAAGCAGATCTCTTATGAATTTGAGGTCAGCCTGGTCCACATAGGAAGGCCTGGGCCTGCCGAGGCTGCATACTGAGAGCCTGTCTCACCAAATAAACAACCAAAAACATAGAAATAGAAAAGAAAGAAATAGAATGGCGAGTTCAGGCACCATCCTTTTTTCTTTCTTGTGTGTGTCTGATTGAACATATGTGCTCACATGCCTGTGTGGGTCAGAGGTCAACGTCCAGCTGCTTCGTCCATGCTTCGTCAGCTTACTTATTGGGACAGTTACTCCCTGAATCTGGAACTCACCAATTCAGCTAGACTGACAGGCCGACAAACCCACACTCCCTCCCATTTCTGCTCTGCAGTGCTGGGGCTATAGCTGTGTGTTAGAGAGCCTGGTTTCTTCATGGGCATCCGGGACCTGTGGTGGTTGAACAGGAATGGCTGCCACGGACTTATGTGTTTGCCTACTTGGTCCATCGGAAGTGGCACTATTAGGAAGTGTGGCCTTCCTGGAGGAAGTGTGACACTGGAAGCAGGCTTTGAGGTCTCATATGGTCAAGCTATGCCCAGTGTGGCACATAGTCTCCTTCTGCTGCCCGTGGATCAATATGGAGAATTCTCAGCTCATTCTCCAGCACCATAGTTACCTGTATATTGCCATGCTTCTTGCCATGACAATAATAAAATTAATAATAATAATAATAGTAAACCTCTGGAACTGTAAGCCAGCCTCCACTAAATGATTCCTTTATGAGAGTTGCCATGGTCATGGTGTCTCTTCACAGCCTTAGAAACCCTATGAAGACAGGATCCAAGTTCAAGTCTCCAGGCTTCAGCAGGCAGCATCTTGTGAACTGAGCCTTCCTCCCAACATAGCGTCATCTCGTTTGGGTCCATTCAGCCTGAGATGTTTGAAAAAGTCAAAGAAATATTCTTAAATTCTCTTAAAATTCCGTCACTAGCCTCTCTCCATTAATTAATTAATTAATCTTATTTTTCTCACACATAATGCCTATTGTTGAGAGACTGGGATCTTTTATACATCCCATTTTTTTGTACTTTCTGAAAGAAATGCCCAACCAGAGTTCTAAATTTCCACCTCTTGGGAGAGGGTTGAAGGGGAGGGGAGAGGCAGGGAGGGGAGCAGAGAAAAATGTAGAGCTCAATAAAAACCAATAAAATTAAAAAAAAACTTATCAGATTTTAAAGTAGAAAATCTTTTATTTCTTGACAATTTCAACTTGTATGTTTTGTATTTTGATCATATGTACTGCCTCCCACCTCACTGGGCACTGCTTGACACACCTCTAGATTCTTTTTATGTAGTGCTTTGTTTTTTATGAGTATTTTATGAATATGTTGTCATCTGCCCTCCCATTGCTTGTCTGGGTCAAGTTCCTTTCCTTCCAGGTTGCTCTAGTCCCTGTCAGGGTTCGGCCAGCCTCTAGAATCCACGGTGGGCTGCGAGATTGTGGTTCATGGGAAGCTGTACATGTGTGAATAGCTTATTGATTTTGAATGTCGCGTTTCTTATTGGGCTTCTTCCAATGTCTCCGGCTCCCAGTGTCTGCTGTTAAACGGTCATCTAGAGACAGTGGCAAGAGGCAAGTGGTGGATTCAGAATTTACCATTCAGTGTGAATACATGCACACCATTCTTCTATTCTTTTTTAAAATTATTTAACTTTATTTCATGTGCGTTGGTGTGAAGGTGTCAGAGCCTCTGGGACTGGAGTTACAGACAGTTGTGAGCTGTCATATGGATGCTGGAACTTGAACCTGGATCCTCTGAAAGAGGAGCCAGCGCTCTTAACCTCTGAGCCTACTCTCCAGCCCCCATTCTTCTATTATTAATACATTTTCCATGATACCCTCTGTCCTGGAAGCTACTTTAGCCCCTGGGGAGAATGATGAGATCATGTCCATTAGCCTGAACTGAAGAAGAAGCCTCTTGAAGTTGCTTCTTTGGCAGTTCCCACCCGCCTCAGATTCCCGCCCCCCCCCCCCCAGTTCCAGGCTGTATCCTGACTATACACAGGGTTAATTGCCACCTTTTGCTCTGGTCCTCATTCCCCTTTTCCACCTCCATGTAGGTTTTATCTAATAAAGTATGTGCACTAGTAGTGAATTAGGATGGAAATAAACATGTACAAGTGTCAAATCCATCACCTTTATACAATTTCTTTATTCGAGTCCTCTACTGACTTCTTTTGGGATACTTGCCACAATCTCATCTTTAAAATGTAGTTGGCACATGACTTCTTCAACAGAAAGTGTCACCATGACAAGTAAAAGGTTTTATTTAACCAATTGTCTTAGTGACCTCTAATGGCCAACACTATTCATAGACTCGTTGCCAGAATTCTGCATTACCAGATCCTACCGCCAGGGGATGCTCTCATCCCCTTGACATGCGATCTCCAGTGCAAAGCTATCATTGTCAAGCTTTCTTGACAAAGAAGCAAGCAGAGTAGTTTGGAAGGTGCTCAGAGTCAAACAAGGGTAAGAATGTGACTTGAGTTCACCTGGCAAAACTCTAGAACCCATGGTCTGATCACACGGAGCTTGATTGTTTCAACAGTAGTTAAGTCTGTGGGAACTGCCACGGGACTTATTTCCCAGGAGAGGCATGGGGACCTCACAGGTGTAAATACCTGGGGTTCAGGTGTTTAGATGGGAAGTACTGTGAAAGGAATACAAACGGTGGTCTTTCTCAGACTGCGTGTTCATAACTCCTGGATGGGTGTGATATACCAGCAGCTGCCCTAAACTCTTGGTACAAATAAGAATTATGAATGAAAGGGACAGCTCAAGTCCAAAGTCACAGCCAAGAAAAACCAATGTGACTTTCATAATTTTACTTAAACCCCTGTATCATAAACACTATCTCCATTATTAGAAGCTTCTGATTGGAGATATTTGAACATAAATATACTATTTATATAAATAAGGTGTGTTAGGAATATGAGCAGAGAGGAGAGGAGAGGAGAGGAGAGAGAGAGAGAGAGAGAGAGAGAGAGAGAGAGAGAGAGAGAGAGA